TATTCCTAGACTTTCACTCAACTAACCAGGGGCTGTCATTGGTTGATTCCTGGTCACGTGGCCTTGACTAAAATCAAATGTATCCCGATCGTGATACATCACGCAATGTACCCCGCTCGGGATACATTACAGCACGTGATCAAAGCATGGTGCAAAGTGGCGTGATTGAAAGCGGGAATTTTAACTTTTGTGAATGAACGCAGCAAAACAAAAAATATGGAGCCTGAACCTGTAAGGAAACGATTCAAACAGCTCACAAATGAAGAGATACAGCAACTGGTTGAGGCCAAGGATTCCGAAAATACAAGGAGAGCGACTAAAAATGCCGTTGCTACTTTTCTAGCATTCTGTAATGAAGTTACGCCTGAAGAACCCGTGAAAAACACAGAGTCCCTGGAGAAAATGTCGAAGAACGAACTGAATGAACTTCTAACGAATTTCTGGCCGAATGCCCGGAAAAAGAATGGAGACAATTACAAAAAGACTGCCTTGATGGGACTACGATTTGGTCTGCAAAGGCACTTTCTACTGAAAAGAGATTTTGACATCATTAATGACGGCGAGTTTTCCAAATCAAATCAAGTTTATGAGGCGGCAGTTGTCGAGTTAAAGCGGCAAGGATTTGGCAGTGTTGATCACCACAGGCCGATATCAAAGGAAGATCTAGAAAAAATTCAGTCTTGCTACAATCCATCCTCTCCAGATCCTAAATCCCTCCAGCAAGTGGTTTGGTTTAATCTCATGTTCCACCTAATTAGCCGCGGGAGAGAAAATCTCCGTCTTCTCACAAAACAGACGTTTACCGTACAGGCTGATGCAACTGGTAAGAAGTACGTATATCAAGAACTTGATGAACTGGACAAAAATCACAGGGGAAAGGATCAACCAGATGATTCTCCAGGTGAAGGTCGTATGTATGAAAGACCGAATAGTCCGTACTGTACAGTAAATAAATTTTGAACTGTATTTATCAAAGCTTAATCCTAATTTGTCGTGTTTGTGGCAAAGGCCGAAGGCGCGTGAAAGTTTTAACGAAAGTGATGAAGTTTGGTATTGTAATGCTCCTCTCGGAAAAAATACGCTAGCTACGTTAATGAGTTCCATTTCAAAGGAAATACAATTGTCTTATCAGTACACCAATCATTCTATTAGGGCAACTGCCGTATCGTTATTAGACTGGAGTGTAATTTTGAGGCCCGCCATATAATGCGTGTTTCTGGCCACAAGTCTGAGAGCAGCATTCGCTCTTATTCAAGGCGCCTTTCTGATGTTAAACAAAAGGAAATTTCCCATTCACTCAGTACTGCATGTTTTGAAAGTTTCGAGAGACAAGAGCAAACTGCAGAGGCAGATTGTCCTCTAGTCGGAAACACAGAGCCAAGATCACCCATCACGATGCAAAATTTCGCATCGCAAAGCCAGGAAACGGTTAACTCTAACGCAGGCGCATTTTCAGGAGCAACTGTTACTATAAACTTTTATCGAGGTAATTCCAAGTGATTCTCTTTGAGCTTATCTCAATATTGAGCTTTTAAGTCCAGAAACTACTTGTTCATATACTTTGTGCTAAGTAATTCATTTTACAGATTTGAATTAAATGTGCCCTTTGAAGTACTGACATTGTTTTCATTCGTTCTTTACTTCTTTGTCACTGTTGAAGTAAAAGTCTAGGAATGTAACAAAACACTTAATGTCAGTTCCCTCGGGAAACAGTTAGTTTTGTTTTCCCTCGAGTCCTAATGTTTCCCTCGACTTCGTCTCGAGTAGTGGGGGAGGGATGTTTTACGCCGTTTTTTTGCGGATTTAATTAACTTTTTGTGCGGTATAAATTAACGCAGATGACGTCATGCATCTCATTAAGATAGGATGATGTCATAGTTTAAATTAACGCCGGTGACGTCACGCACGCCATAAAGACAGGATGATGTCATATCTTAAATTAATGCCGATGACGTCATGCATTGCATTAAGATAGGATGATGTCATAGTTTATTTGTAGCTGGCAAGGAGCAAGTGACGTCAGAATTTCCTAGAGTTGACGTCATCAAAAAATGTTGAGATAATATTCTATAAACAGAAAAGTGATTTTTATGCAATTAGCTATTTGCTATAGTCTTCTGATTACATATTGTTTGCTATAGTCTTCTGATTGGATATTGTAGAAACTGTTATGTGTGCAAAATAAAAGCGGGCAAATTTTGAACGTGTGATCTTTGCAGATTATACTAAATGAAAAATCTTTAATCATTAAATTTTTTTCACTAAAAATCGGTCATAAACAAAACCAAGACGCGGAGGCTAACTGAAAAATCTTTACTTCAAAAGAAGGGAAAAGGAGGTTAAGCGAATGCGAAATCGTACAAATTTTTCAGGCAAAACATGAAAACGAGGTCGAAGCTCAGCGAAGCGAAAAACTGCCTATCAAGAAAAAAGGTCAATCTTTGTTTACTTGACTCTGTAGAAAGTATTGCACAGGGTATGAAAATTCTATAGAAAACAAGAGGTGGTTCTAAAGTAAACCCCATTCTTGTTCCTAATGAGTGGAAAGTCTATTTATAAAAATAGGAATAAGAGGTGCGATCGCCTAGCAACACATGTCTTCTTGTTTAGCGCTAAAAATCGGATACATGAACAAAACACACACACATACACAGAGTGGAGCTGAAAACTCTCTATTTCAATTTTAACTCACCATTACGAAAGCGTTTTCCCCGTTCTATCTCGAGGAAACGACTAACTATTGAAATCTCAGCGCTTGATGAGCTTATGGTCTTGTCAATTCAGGCTCCGTTAGACAGTTAATTATGCGGGTTAACAAGCCCAAACTTGAATACAAATTAGTTCATCTCTACAGCTAGACCCAAGGGAGCACCTTGACTTATTATTGTAAAACCACAAACAATTAATAACTTAACAAGGATTAATTTAAACACGCGACAAATAAATTGACAAGACACGAGATACAGTTTTAAAAACTTGATTGAAAACCAGTGACAAAAAGAGTCGAACAAACAGCGATTTGGAAGGGATGGAAATTAGACCTCCTCTTCGTTCTCCTCTTTAGAAGGTGAATAAAAATTGGTTTCCAACGTCTTGGCGTTTTTGTGTGTAATTAATCCACAATCGTCACACCGAAGAAAGCCCTCTTTGATGTATTTTCTCTCCTCGGGGATCTGGTGATCGCATATAGGACAAATCTTGTAGTCATCGTGCCAAAAGCACTTAGGATATTTCATAATCAATGTGGAGTACACATTAGAGTTTTCGCAATGTTCACAGGGACTTTTAGAGTGAAAGGTGGTGGTCGTTTCAGGGCTACTACTTTCTGTTTCCTCACTATCGTTTTCAGTGTCGTTGTCGCTCTCTTGGGTGCCTTCAGTTTCAACGCCATTCTCAGAAGCCACTTCCTCCTCCTCCTCCTGATTTTCAATATCCGATGAACTCTCCTCATTATTACTCTCATCGTCGAAAGTATTTTCTACATTTCTGTAGCCTTTTTCCTTTTCTATTAAATCGCTTTACAACTTTTTGTTCTTGATTAAACCTTTATCGATTCCTAACTCTGCAAGTCCATCTAGAAACATATTCAGCGCACGAGGCTTGGTAACCTCATTGTTATGAGGGAGTAACACATACTCAACAAGCTCGGCGATGTTTGTGACGGGAATAGTGCGTTTATTTCGAAGTAATTGTCCGCTGGGAGTCCAGAAAAGAATATCTTTGGACGCGGCCATACTATGCAGCAAATCAGAAGCACGCTTTTCCGACACTGCTCGGGAAAGATGACTCAAAACATCTTTTATTCCTGGTTCTTCATCCTTGCTTTTATCACCAGAACTTTCGCTCTCTTCATGTTCACTCTCGTGTTCTTCTTCAACCAAATCTATCTTTCTCTTCATTTTGATGACTACCCGTGACAGGCCGTAGCTTCAAATGAGTAACTTATAGTTTCGTTTCCTCTTTTATAGCATCAAAAATCCTAGGCTTGTAACAGCAGGTACCAATAGGTCTTGAATAAAACCATCACCCTCTTGTACAAGGATCGTTTCTTTGTTTTGTAAGGGACATTTGTTTCTGCTAGGTTTTCTAGAGCATCCTTATATGGCAACACGTTCCGCTTATTTTCTTCGGGGATAAGAATGTATTCCTTAAGTATATTGTATGAGACTTGGACTAATGCATGCGTTTGTAGTTGTTGTGGACTGGCTGTCCGTAAAAGAAACTTTTGCTGATAAGCTGGACAAACAGCTAAGAATTGAAGAAAACCACGATTGTTCTTGACAACTTGAGACATTGCGACAAACTGAACTTATGATAGTAGTTTGCAGTCTTTTATCGACCGTCGTGGAGAAAAACAATGGAAATGTGGTGGCGGTGGTGGTGGTGGAAGAAAACAATGAAAATGTGGTTGTGGCGGTGGTGGTGGTGGAGGGAAAACATTTTCTCAGTCTACATTCTGCTCCTGAGGACATGAGACTGACATGAGTTGGTTCTGGTCCGTTTGCGAAAAATCATTTAGTAGAAAGGATAGCATGCAAAGGCACGTGATGTCTAAGCACCACAATGTTGGTCTCACACCATTTGAAACAGTTCCGTTTTCGCAGAAATGTCAGCGGTTTCGATTCAAGCATCCCTTTACCTCCATGATTGCCGGAATGACCGGCTCAGGAAAAACGGCCTGGGTTCGATCTCTATTGCAACAAGCTTCAGAGACAATTTACCCTCCCCCGGAGAGGATTGTTTGGTGTTATTCACAATGGAAGCCTGAAATGCAGAAATGCTAGTCGCCATGCAACACATTGAATTCGTCAAGGGAATTCCCACAGCTTTGGAGCAGGATTCCTATTTTGATGTGAACAAACGGAATTTGATCGTGTTTGATGATCAAATGATTGACGCCAGTAAAGACAAGAGAATTGTGAACCTCTTTACTCTTGGTTCTCATCATCGCAATCTAAGCATGATTTATATCGTGCAGAATCTATTTCACGAGGGGAAAGGTAGTCGTAGCATAAGCCTAAACAGGCATTATTTGGTGTTATTCAAGAACCCACGAGACAAATTGCAAATCTTGACTCTTGCCAAGCAAATGTATCCCGGGCAAACTGATTTCTTTTTAAATCAGTACGAGGAGGCTGTAAAAAGACCTTTTGGTTATCTGCTGATTGATTTGAAAACTACTACCCAAGATAATTGTCGACTGCGAACAAACGTCCTGCCCAGTGATAAAGGTTTTAACCAAGCAGGGTTTCAAGGAAATATAACTCAAGAACTTTTAAAATATCTAAAGCAGCAAAATCTTTCGCCTGTCCCACTTCTTCCAGCTATGCAAGAAATACAGGGCAACATGGATGACTTGCTTTCTCGAAACGATCTTCGGGACGATGAAAAAGCTAAGAGATACTTTCAGTTGCAAAACAGATACCTGGCTTTTAAAGAACAATTAAATACAAGAACACGACCGGAAGAGAGCACTGTTCCAGACTTAACATCAAGCACGCAAGATTCTTCGACAGAAACGGCAGCATTCTCCACTCCCATTAACCCCTTCAACGTAACACCTAAATTAACACAAGCGGCTATCTTACAAAAACCTGAAAACGAAAGCTCCACCCCACCACTAACCTTAAATCCTGCTTTCCTGACCCCTCCTCCCACAGTAGAAACCCCATCACAAGGCCCGAAGCGCATAAGGCGTCGGATTGAATTTGTAAATTATTTGGATGATCACAATGCTCATGGCAAACAGAGGAAACGAACTCGGCATAAGAAATTTCGAGTTAGACCTTACAAGTACTCCATGGGCGAAGAAGATGATTAATTTCCATCCCTTCCAAATCGCTGTTAATTTGACTCTTTTTGTCACTGGTTTTCAATAAAGTTTTTAAAACTGTATCTCGTGTCTTGTCAATTTATTTGTCGCTTGTTTTAATTGATCCTTGTTAAGTTATTAATTGTTTGTGTTTTTACAATTATTAGTCAAGGTGCTCCCTTGGGTCTAGCTGTAGAGATGAACTAATTTGTATTCAAGTTTGGGCTTGTTAACCCGCATAATTAACTGACCAACGGCGACCATAAGCTCATCAAGCGCTGAGATTTCAATAGTTAGTCGTTTCCTCGAGATAGAAAGGAGAAAACGCTTTCGTAATGGTGAGTCAAAATTGAAATGGAGAGTTTTCAGCTCCACTCTGTGTATGTGCGTGTGTGTGTTTTGTTCATATATCCGATTTTTAGCGCTAAACAGGAAGACATGTGTTTTTTTAAAGAGATCAACTGTTTGAAAAATGGTAAGAAGCTCTCTCTAGTATCGAAAAGTCGAAAAAAAAAAAGATTTCTTATAAACACGTAACGTCTGAATTAGGTTCGCTCTTATTCAATTCGTTTCGAATTTCTTTATAAACCTTAAACTTAAGAAGACTCAACTTGATGGCACATGAATGTGCGAACTACTAAAGAAGTCTTTCTGAGAACAAAACTTGTTCAGGTAGTTTTTATATATATTGTGGTTCAGTTTCATCCTGGGTTTAAATTTTGTTTCCTTTTGTTTCAAACTCATTATCATACATCATCATACCCAAAAACAAAACACAAAAGAAAATAACATTTAAACCAAGGATAAGATAGGCCATTTCAGAGTTCCCCGGGGCCTCTGTATCAAAACGAGGTTAGGTGCTCAACCTTTCTTGTGGAAATGAGTGTTATTTACATGAGAATGAAAAATCATTTCCATGTCAAAGGTTGAGCACCTAACCTCGTTTTGATACAGAGGCCCGGGGGAACTTGGAAATGGCCTATTGAACCACAACATATACGCCAGTTTACCCCTCCCCCTCCCCCCGTCGTTCAAGCAGAAGCTCTCTGTAATGAGCTTGCAATCTGAGTGAAATCGCAAACAGTACTACATCATTTGCGTCAAGTATACAAATCGAGTATCTCCTTGTAGTAAATACCATTTCTTACGACTACAAAAAAATGGTTCATAAATTCGCATTGAAATTACATTTTTCACAGCTCTAGTAGTCCATTTGGTTTCGCTTGCCGCCTTCAACATCCACAGGTCTCCAGGAATGGGTAGCTCAGTAGAGTAATTTCTAGGTGAGTAGCCTGTCCCGGCGTTCAGACGATGCTGGGTGCGAGTGGAGAGCAGGGAGAAAATAGCAATTAAGCGGAATTGAAAGAAAAATTATTTTATGAATCGCACGATGAGGGGAAGGTGTGGGAAGAGAAGGTGAATTAATTACAACATGGATCCGTCCTGCTTCCCACTACACACTTCACAAGTCACGTTAGCTATCTACATCACACCGCCGTCTTTGGTACAGTTAAAGACGTGCTTCAACGTCGACTAGCCTGCTTGGCAGGCGCAAAAGGGACCGTCTTCATTTTGAGAAGGTCTGTTTCCCTTAGTCAAAATTAGCGGGGTATTTGTTGTGAATAATTTTTTAAAGAGATAAACAGTTTGAAAAACGGTAAAGGGCTTTACAAAAGTTCGAGGTTATCTCTTAAAAAAAATGATTTCTTTTATAAAAACTTAACGTCTGAATTAGGATTCGATCTTATTCAATTCTTTTGTAAACCCTAAAGAAGAGTCAACTTGACTGATACACATGAATGTATGAACTAATAAGGAAGTCTTTCTGGGAAAAAAACTTATTCAGGGAGTTTTTTATATACGCCAATTTACCCCCCCCCCCACCCCCCCCCCGGTTTTTTTTCATAGTTTTGCTGAGCACCCAAATCAAAAAACAAACTGCCCCTTTTTTGTGGCCCCCCCCAGGCCAGGTAAAACAACCCCTTTCGTTTTAACCTCATTTCTCTCCTCTCTACACGCACAAGTCGCCCTCCACACACACTGCCAACTTGCTGAAACACC